GATGTGCTAATAGTTCTGTATGATAGGAGCAAGCATGAAAATTTCGTCTGAAAATGTATCATTTTTCTGTTTGGCATTACTGTGTCATGCTATTTAGCCCTAATCAACAAATCTTTGTAGGTGCAACAACTTGATGGCTCGGAAGCAATGTTCCGTGCCCACGTCGATCTTCGATCATACAACACGGCGGAAAATCGACTAAAAGTAGCCAGTTTTTTTCGCGAAATTTACTTGCCAACTTATTTTTATTTCATTTAGATCTTACCTTCCCCATTTTTGCCTCTCTAACTCTCCGGTTTTATTAAATCCGATATAATTTATCGTCTACGAGTTGCGTTTATTGCTGCTGCCGTTAGTATTACTACTATGCTATGGTTATTACTTTTCTCATGTTTTGTTTTTAACAAACTGTAATGAATATTATTTTACCACACTAATATAATATTTTTATAATATATCACTTCATCATTGACAGAAAAAAAAATGATATTTTCGTTAGTTTACTAATAATAATGATATTATTACAAATATTACTAACATCTATTTATTACTATTATTAGTTTTATTAGCGCCATTATTATTGTAATTATTGTTGCTCTTATTGTTTATTGCCACTGCAATAATTGTATTTACCATAATTAACAAATATTTGTTATTAACATTATCATTATTACTGTTATTATTCACTGGTTTCACTGCATTTTGCAAATGCTCGAGGCATTATTTTCCGGAGTTTTGGAGCACATTGCTTAAAGTTTTTACATTGTCATCTGAGTGGCACACCAGTTCTTACCAGTTCCAACGGTGTTTCAACTCACATCGACAAATACATGCATCAGTCGCACACAAACAGAGGCCTCGTGCGCGGGGTTCAGGCGCGTATGGGGGAAGATCTTAAAAAGGGAGGATTATACACGGGGTAGGAACATATATCCGAAGTTTCAGCCCCCCAGCTTTTGTGGTTGCCGAGTTGAAAGTGGGTGTGCAGAATTTCTTGATGCGTTAACATTACTGGCTTCTTTTATATCTGCAAGCATTGATACTTTCTTTCTTCGTCACATGTTTTATCCAGCGCAGTTATTTGCTGGACTCATTTTTGCAGACTGAAGCACTGCTGCAAGCAGCGAACGCAACGCTCAGTGAAAAAGCATCCGGTACTGCTGACATCGAGGGACCGAGTGCGATACACGTCGTCAAAAATGCACAGATACCACCATCGTGCTACCAGTCATTTCTGAAAAAAAGACGAGACATTGCGGGCTTCGTTCTTTGCCCCTTTGACCAACGCTATATCTACAAGTTAGTTTAAATTATGCAAGTCTTTTGCGTGATTAGGCGCTATGCAACATTTAAAATGCTTCACCACAGCACAAAACGCGTCGTCGTTACGGTTTAACGCGATTACAAGCAATAGAAAGCAGGGGCTTTAGCGACTTGCCCCCTCCTTCTTTCTTCCTTTTTCCCCTCCAGTGATCTTGCCTTGACTTAAGGTTACCTTGCCACTTTATTAATGAAGCGAGTCCGTTATAAAAATCCCTTTTTCTGTAGCGTTGTTCTGCAATCACGGCACTGAGTCAACGATTAATGGAAGCGTCGCTAACTGCTGGATGAAGGCAGAGGCGTGACTGATGCTACCTGCCGGCAGTTGATAGTACTAATGGGCTGACTTTCATATAACAACAAGTTATGTAATTTATGGTAACTCATTCCAGGCTCTATGTAACAATTACACATAGTTATGTATTTTTTTGTTTAGGAGTGAAGCAAGCCGTGAACCAGGAACTTAGGTTTTTCGGTTTGTGGGATAACAGTTACATAGGGTCTGGAAACTTTTGGTTACGGTGTGCCCCACAAACGTTCACCAGTACCGATTGATTTAATTTTGATTGCTTTTCATGCTTACATTTACTTGTTACAGCCGGATAAATTCATTGACAGACCAAAATGTGTTCGGAAATGATACATCAGCACTGCGGAAACAGGTGATGGCCGCAGCAAATGCAGTCTTCGGTGCGGTCCTCGAATTCCTCACCGGTTCCAATAAAACGCATGCGCATCTTCTCGGACGTTACGATATTGACGAGCAATATGTATCTGCTTGCACTACTCAGTTATATAAATTGGAGATCGGACACTACTCTGTGAAGCAGAATTTTTTCTCGGTTTAAAAGCTATCGCTGAGCAAGCCAGCCTTTAGAGTTTTCCATCCTGCAAGTAGCATATTTAGTCTTGTGTGTCATCCGGACTCTTCCGATCTTTCTTCTCAGGCTGGCAGAGATGGAACTTAGGTAGATCTGCCAGTGATTTTCGTTGTTTGTGACCGCACAACCGTGGCAGAGAGCTTGGGCGAGTTTCTTATAATTATTCATCGATACGGGGGAATTTCACAGGCATGTAGCGCTGCTTAGGCTTGACTGGAATAGTTCAATTTCCCCGAGCGTAATGACTAACCCTTCTTCGGCCCGTTAATTCATTTTAGTTGTAACTTAGTACCGGTGCATGTCAGACTGTTGGGACGGCAGTTAGACTGCTTTCAAGTGACCTTCGAAAGTGGAAGTCGTTGGCAGTCTTGCCAGCGAATGGCTTTGGCGTTGGCAATTCGCTGTTGCGTGAGGTGCTTCGTATACCTCCGCCGATGAGGAAGAATGACTCACAGGGGGCTTTTGAATTTACAATTTTTTTCTGCTGCATTGCAGGTGGCAGTATTGTTGGATTGTTTTTTGCTGCATGCTGACTGGCATACCTGTAGCTTCTTCAAGAACATCACCAAAAGCGACAATCGTTTCAGTCATCATCGTTAGTTTTCTCATTTTACCTACTTCTTTTAAACGAACAATAGACAGTGGGCGGCATTATTTTGTGGTTTTGCATGATTAGTGGTCGTCTTATCGTAAGATTCCTTCGAGAGCCATCAATATAGCTGTGTTTGTGATCGGAACTTCTCCGACTTTTGGTTGGCATGGCGCCCCTTATCCCTTTCTTTTCTTTTTTTTTTTTGTTCTTTTCTCAAAAAGCCAAGTGTGTTGCATTATCTGTGTTGTTTCTTTGACTGTTTATAATTTTTATTGAAGTTATATGCCTGCCAAGGTTTCAGCCAAAGATACGTATATATCAGCTGGAAAAAATAGCTATTCTTTGATTCGGGTTCTCGTCAACGCCTTAATTGTGAACAGCATTGGCTCGAGAAGTGCATGGAATGTTCCCGATCGCGAACAGTGTGAAGACTTGAACAAACATCAAAAGGTACAAAATTAGTTCTAATGCCATGCTTCTTATTTCAGAAATTTTTGTGCATTTCAAGAAATGGAGCTAATCACCTCTGGTCAGACTGACATTTACCTGATTATTAGACATTCTGTAAC